TTGGTGGTCTAAAATCGATAAGAGTAGGCTTCGGCCGCCACCCGGGCAAAATTCAAAATTTCCTACCAACTGGAAATATTAGATGTGTCCCGCGCGCTCATATGACCTTATGCAGTTGCGAGCGCCGTAAAACACTTTACAAAAACGAAACAAACAAACTCCCTTTGTAAGACCTGGCAACAACAAACTTTCTGAAAGCACCCTTGTGCAAGGCATCAAACTACAGACACTGCAAAAAGTGACTCTAACAAATTGCCACTGGCGTAGGAAACCGAGTGGTTAGGCTACCGTACCCGTAATCGTGAGATTGTGGGTTAGGGGGTTCAAGCCTCATCTCGGTCCGACGTTGTATCCTGGGGAAAGGCACTTTACTCGAATTTCCCACCTGGCCCAGTCCTGTCGGAGATAGACGTTAAACTTGGAGGCCCCAGTTCTTAAATAAAAGTGTTGACAGGGGCATTAAATCTGTGTAATTTTTAAAACCAATTGCTGGTTGCTAGAAGTGTCCTCTCTGCCTTGTGAGCTTCTGAGGTTGACGTGCAACGACCTGCCATTCCCTTCATTTGTCATCTGCTCTTATGTACTGTTCCAACGACTGAGCTATTCAAAACTTTACATTGTCTGTACATAGTAGTCTCTGCCTTCCTACTGCCTTTGTTTCTTCTAGTTTACCTTCTAGTAATTTTTTGAAAGGTGTAAGCTAACTGCTTATATGATCCATGATCGCCCACGCCAGTCGACAATGCTCCGATTGATGATGATATGCTAATTGCCTCAAAATATTTGGACTCTCAAAGTTCTTTATTTCCAAAAAGTAGTAATATTTTTTCTTTACCTTTGTTTCCTCATCCCCGCCCACTCCCCCTATAATCTCCCGCCTTCCTCCCCTCTCCATCCCGCATTACCTCAACCCTCCTCTCTGGGTCCCCAGATGCATATCGTCCACCACCAGGACAATCTGGACAACAGCAGCTCTGCCGCGTCACACCCATACGGTCTGGCCGTCCTCGGCTACTTGTTCAAGGTAAGCATATCCGTTATTGGCCAGCATCAGTAGCTATAGTAACAATATGCAAAAGAAGTTACATCATCATCATCATCATCATCATCATCATCATCATCATCATCATCATCATCA